CTTCTTCCTGGGAGGAGATAAGCATAGCTCATGGTTTGAGAGCAAAGGGGAGCCGTGGTATGTAGCTGATGGGTTCTTCACAACAGGATGTTTTACCACTTCACTGAGTAGGTATCCCATGCACAGGCAGTGCAAATCTTCTCCCAGCCAGTCATTGTTTGCCCAGTTCTGATTCCCAGGCTTGAACAACCAGTGTGCCTTCTAATGTCTACTGTCCATAGGTTTTCTGTACCATTCTCTGAGTCAGGGGAATATTTTCCTCTACATTTCCTAAACCACACCCTTTGGAGCATATACTTTACCTCAGCCCTTACTCTGCTCCAAAGCACAGCTTTAACTTTTTGTGATAATATTGCAGTTGTGTCTCCAAATTTCCCTTGTTAGTATACCCTTTTTTTTGTTTTCCCCACATTCCCCACGTACTTGGCCTCCTCCAGCTCCTCCGTGCGCTGAATAGCATCTGTCTCGTATTTGGTTCTCCACTGGGCCACTTCGCTGTTGGCCTTGGACAGGGCACGCTGCAGCTCCCCCTTGGCTTCCTGCTCCTCCTCATACTGTTCCCGGAGCAGGTCACAGTCGTGGCGAGCAGACTGCAAGGCGTGGGCCAGGGCATTCTTGGCCTGGGAAGAGAGCAAGATTGGGACAAGAAAGGTAATATCCTGGGAAACCTCTTCCAATTAATTAATTTAACACTGTGAACATGACTGCTATGAGGGTGCAAGTGTTTCCAATGAGGACCGAGGTAAGTCTGGAGGACAAAATGAACTAATCACACTCCCTACAGAAATTAAAAACTTCTCCCAGTATGACTGGGGCTAATCAGACCCTGTCTCTACTAGGCGGTGTGAAGTTAAGAGTGTTTTCAATGGCCAGCTGTAGGAAGAGTCATTACCTTTATCTCTTCCTCTAAGTGCCTCTTGAGTTCCTCAATCTGTTGGGTGAATGCCTGCTTGCCTCTTGACAGCTGAGAAATCAGAGCATCCTTCTCCTCCACCTGGCGTGAATATTCACCTAAGAAAGCACACAGAAAGGAAGTATTTTCATTGTCACTGATTACCCAAACAAGCTGTTTTAGGATGATCTCCCATTCCACAGTACAGAGGAAGTTCTCTCACCTGATTCTGTCTGCAGACGAGATCTTTGAGCACTGAGGTCATTGATCATGCGCTGATGCTCTTCTTCCTTTGTCTTAATCTCACTCAGCTGGTCTTCCAGAGTGCGACACATCTTCTCCAGATTTGCCTGCGGAGATTACAGAGAACGAATGAATATTAGTGTCTGGATGCCTCCTTATTCTGAATAGCACGATTCTCACCAGAAAAAAGTAAACACGTGTGCAAGATATATACTGCTCATTGGCTTTAGAAGGTTAAAAATACAGTTCCATAGAGAGACAGAGAGTTATACTGTAACTTGACCATATGTTAAAAAGATATGTATCAACATTATTATTTATTTTCAAGTTGTTTTCAATGTATTTCTCAGTACCTTGGCTTTGGAGACAGACTCCATGTTACTGGCCAGGTCGTCAATCTCCATCTTCAGCTCACTCTTCTCCTTCTCCAGCTTCTGCTTCACTCGTTGCAGGTTGTCGATCTGCTCCCCAAGCTCCGCTGTGCTGTCCGCGTGTTTCTTCCGCAGGGCGGCAGCCGTGGCTTCATGCTGCAGCGTGGCCTCTTCGAGGTCACGACGCATCTTCTGAAATTCTGCCTCACGCTTCTTGTTCATCTCAATCTGAGCTGCTGTAGCCCCTCCTGCTTCCTCCAAGTGCTCGCTGATCTCCTCTAGCTCCCTGGAGAGGTCAGCCCGATGCTTCTCGGCTTTTGCCCGAGAGGTTCGCTCGGCCTCAATTTCCTCCTCCAGTTCCTCTATACGGGCCTGGGGAACATCAGCAACCCATCACACCCATGCCCTCCTCCCACCTGGCCTGTGTCTGGGTGAGAGAGGGGAAGGAGCAGAGACTTGCCTGCAGCTCCTTGATCTTCTTCTGTAATTGCATGCCCAGGGCTTGCTCATCCTCGATTTTGCTCTGGATCTGGCTGATTTCAAAGTCTTTCCTTTGGGCAAAGCAAACCATCTTAGAGCTCAAAGAAAAAAGACAAAGTGCACCAGCCCAGCACTCCAGTGCTCCACAGCCACACTTACTTCTTCAGCTTCTCATCCAGCTGCTGCTTATCATTCTCCAAATCCATTATGCTGTCGTTGGCCAGCTTCAAGTCTCCTTCGAGTTTCCTCTTAGATCTTTCAAGGTCCATGCGCAGTTTCTTCTCTTGCTCCAGGGACCCTTCCAGCTAAAGAGAACAAGACCACTGGTGGTCTGCCACCCATGTTTAACTCCGTACCTGTCCTGTTCTTGCTGTCTGCCTGTGTGCTTACATCATCCACTTGCTGCTCCAGCTTGGTTTTAGCTTTGGTCAGCGTATTGACTTTGTCCTCTTCTACCTGCAGGTCATCCAGGGTCTGCTGGTGGGCCTCTTGGAGGGCTTTCTTCTCTTTTGTCAGCTTGGCAATGGTCTCGTCCAAGGCTGCCATCTCCTCTGTGAGGTTTTTCACCTGCACTCTGTCAGGTTTTTCACCTACAAAGATGAGAAAGTGGCAAAATTTTTAGAACACACATGCTGGTGCAGTGACATTTTCACTTTGCAGTGTTTTGACACATGTTTCATTTACCCTTTGAATGCTCAGACAAGGCCCAGCTCAAAATTTTCCAAAGCCAACACGTTTTTTGTAGTAGGTTTCTACTCTGAGAGTCAATGACGTCTTAGCTCTTTTATGTGACTCCCCTGTGTGTACCTTGTTTTCAGTGGCATGTTTTTCCTTCTCAACCTTGGCCAATGTTAACTCAAGGTCGTCAATATCTTTCTTCAGCTCTGAACATTCATCCTCCAGTTTTCTCTTCTTGGCTGTCAGCTCAGCATTAATTTCTTCCTCATCCTCAGCCCTTTCAGTCACCTCCTTTACTTTGGCTTCCAGCTGGATTTTGGTTTTGATGAGCTGGTCGCATCTTTCCTCAGCATCAGCCAAAGCATCAGCTTCCTTGTGGGAAAATACATAAAATGTTATTTAATGCTAAAGGAACAGATGTGCGTCAGTAAGAACTTTGGGGATACTTCCTGGGAAAAGGTTATTGCACAATTACATTACAAATTACAAGTTTAGAATACATTTTAAATCAGTTTTAATTTTTCTGACATTTTTCATCATCACACACTGTGTTGAGCTCCATTATGTTTCACCTTGTTTAGTTCACGTATGTCAGTGTGTTGCTTGGATTTAACTGATGTTTTCCTTTTCTCCTTTAGAAAGTAACTGCATTTTATAATGCACCATATTCAAATTTATGTGGAAGTATTGAGAAATGTAAAAAATTCCACTACTGAGAAAATATCTGAAACTCCCATTAGTAGATTTATACCCAGCCAACACCGTCCCTGAAATGGACACTTCAGTTCAAGGGTATTGCCTAAATGTTGCCTAAGTTTCCGAGAGGTAAAATGACATTGGAGACAAATACAGAAGGCTGGCCTTTGTTTTGCAGCATGTAATGGGTGTCTTTGTCTTCTGGGTAAGTAGCTACAGGAGCCCAGGTGAGATATGCCGTAAGAAAGGGCACTAGGCTCTTCATTTCAACAACTGAATCAAGGCAGAGTTGTTGGCCAATTGAATCACTGTCCCCACTCCACTAAATACACTACAGTGACTGTAATGAGGCTTTACATCATGAACTCTCATGGAGACATGTACATGGAGGCATTAAGACTGAAAAGTCATTCTTTAGCTTAAAATCCTCATTGTAGTAGTGAGACTGAATGGGAAAAGAATGTGGCCTGAATTTTACCTTTAGTTACATGGTATTCAGATTAAAATATTCTGTAAAACAGTTTAGTGTACAATTTGAGATTTCTGTAGTATGAAAGAAGAGTTAGATCTTATTTACTCATTTCCCCTGTAAAAAAATAAAAAACAATGTTACTCACAGCCTGCACTTGGAGCTGCAGATCATTTTTCTCCTGCACCAGTTTCACCATTTTCTCCTCCAGCTCCTTCCTCTTTGCCTCAGACTTTGCAAGCTCTTCCTTAGTTTTCTCAAACTCTTCCTTCATGGTGGCCATCTCCTTCTCAGATTCTGCACTC